TAGTCTTCAAGCTCTTCAGGTCTATCTCTTTCGTTTTTAATACACACAACTGTTATCTGTTCCTCTTGGTTACTTTACATGGATTGTCTAAGCTTCAGGAAGATATGTAAGGTTTTAGCAAGTTCCGTAAAGTTAGTAGTGAAGATTTTGATGTATATCTCTGCGGTCTATTTATTTATCGTGTTTCAGCTTTCGAAGTGGAGAAATATTTGAAACGATAATTGCTTGATTAGTAAACATGTCTTCTGTAGATTAATTTGATACTAAACCTATTTCTAGATAAAATGATATGATGACTGAAGTAAGTATGTAGTGACATGATGGCTCGTGCTAGATATCAAGTAGCTATCAGTTTTTGTTGTAACCAATATTTCTTGTTTGCGAAGGATTCATGTTCACTGTTGTTTTGTATCTTCAGGTACCCTCGGGATGGGATAAGCTTTCAATCTCTCTCATCTCCATAGAAACAGATAAAACCGTTGCCAAAACAGGTAAAGCATCTGTATGCAATGGAAATTGTCGATGGACAGAGACCTTGTCAGAATCCATTTGGCTCTCTCATGATGATGCTTCAAAAGAGCTTCAGCAATGCCTGTATAAGCTTCTTATTTTAAAGGTATGATGCCTATCTTCACTCGTTTCATTCATGTTTACACATGAGCCATTTATTTGCTATGGTCTAGTTATATCACTACTAATCACTTGTTATTTCCTTCTGATAGGGGTCAACTAGATCTGGCATCCTTGGAGAGGCTACTGTTAATTTGTCAAGTTACATGAGTTCTGAAACTTCTCTTCCTGTTGCACTACCTCTAAAGAAGTGTGATCATGGGACAATTTTACAGGTCAGTCAAGCAGATGCTACAAAGCTTTACTTTGGAAAGTTATGGAGTAACACTTTTTCTGGATTTCAATTGTGTATAGTTACTACTTTTATGTGCTTTTGTGACATTGTGCTCTCTCAGAAGGAAGAATTTGGATTCTCTGTTTGCAGGTTGCTATCCAGTGCTTAACTCCTCGACCTAATTCAAGGTTTGATCCTGAACAAGAGAATCAATCTTCATGTTTTTTCTTCCAATCCTTACAGTGGTTGTAACTTGTTACTTGCTGCATGTTTCATGACTACAGATGGAGTGACACCAACTCTTTTGCAGACAGCAGTGATCTAGATAACATATCTGATGCACCAAATGGTTTTGACACCAAACCTATAGGAACTTCAACAAGCAATAGCATTCGGGATACATCTAATACACTTGGTAGCAGGGTATTTCTCACCTAACTCTACTAAAAGGTTTTTTGCTCTTAAACTATAGCTAGAATCATAATTTGTCCTTGACATCCTTGTGCATCTAAGGATAGCTTTTGTTTGTTCAACAGGAGACAAGCTTTGCAACAGTGAGATCACATAACAGCTTTGATTCAATGGAGGATTCTTTTGGCTCTCATAGTAATCTAAGTGATGCTGCAATCGATTTGATTGGAAAACTGGGGTCAACTACCAATACTATGGTCAATGTTTATAATTCTCCTAGTTCTGGGAAGAATCTTCTGAATCGAAGACAAGATTCTGGGAAAGTTTCACATAATATCCCCGCATCACCATTAAGAACTTTTAGATCCTCTGAATATGCTCTGGATGATGATGTGGCAACAGAAGAACTTCGTGCAGAAGCAAGAACATGGGAAAGAAATGCTAGAAAGTTAATGGTTGATCTTGAATTATCAAGGAAGGTGACTAGTGATCAAACAAGGAACCTGGAAAATGTGACTATGGAGCTTTCTGCATTACAAACAGAATGTAATGATATGAAAAACGAAATCAAACACCTGAAAATTCTCCTAGGTGAATCAGAAGTGAAAGATAGGGATGCTGATAATCTAAAAGCTCAGGTTCAAGATAAAAACGGTATCCAAGCAGAACTTGAAGAAGAAATAAAATTTCAGAAAGATTTGAATAATAATTTGAGTATACAATTGAATAAAACTCAAGAATCAAATCTTGAGCTAGTTTCTATCCTTCAGGAGCTGGAAGAACAAATAGAAAAACAGAAATTGGAGATAAATAGTCTTGAGGCATCAGAACAATCAGCAGTTGATAATGGAGAAGAGCATACAGGGGTAGAAGTGTCAAGAATCATAACAGAAGACAACTGTAGACTTGAGCTTGAACTACAGAAATTTCAGGAATCACAAGAAAAGTTGGAAAGTAGAATCCTTCATTTGGAGGAGACCCTTGAGGAAAAAAACAGAGAAATAGAACTCGAAAGAGACCTCAAGACTCAAACTTTATTGGACATTGATTCAGAATGGACAAAAAAATTAAGTTTGAAAGACAAACAAATCTTGAATTTGGAAGCAAAATTATCAGAAGCTCTTGCTGCAAAATTACCAGTTCTGAAGGAAACCGAATCACAGACAATAGAAACTCCTGATCTCATTGAAGAAGTTAAAGCTTTAAAGGATAAGATTCTTGAGCTTGAAAGAGATTGTAATGAGCTTACTGATGAAAATCTTGAACTCCTCTTTAAACTTAAAGAATCAAGCAAAGATCTTTCAACAAAAGGTGCTTCTGAAGTGGAATACAGTGTAAAAGACATCAATGGTAAACTTGACAATTTGATTATAGAGTTAAAATCCAAAGTTGAGGATCTGAATAAAGAATTATTCACCAAAACTTCTGAGATTGAAGAGCTTAAATCAGACTGTTTGCTTAAGGAAAAGGAGATTCAGTCTCAATGTAATCGTCTACAAGACTTTGAGGCTCAATTGTCTGATTTGCAAATAGTCAACAGTCAGTTGGAGAAAAGTTTGACCGATGCTAAAGAGTCAACTCGTGTAGAAACAGAGCATTCAGAGTCTCAAGTTATTGAAATCAAAAGACTGGAAAACGAAGTGGAGGATATGAAAAAACGGTGGTTGGAAGCTCAAGAAGAATGTGAGAATCTTAAAAAAGAAAATCCCAAATTACAAGCTACTACAGAGAACCTTCTGGAAGAGTGTAGTTTGCTTCAAAAGTCTAATAGTGAGTTAAGACAGCAAAAACTAGAGTTGCATAATCACTGCACAGATGTGGAAGAAAAATTGAGAGAGTCGGAAGATAATTTCTTGAAGTTATCAAAGAATTTGGATGACTTAGAAGAAAATTTATCAACAATGCTCCATGAGATCATGTCAAAAGAGAAAATGTTTGATTCAAAACTTGAAAGTTTACATGTGCAATTTACAGAAGAAAATTCAAATGTTGAGGTCCAATTGCAGAAAGTTACAGAGTTGCAGGATGAGATTGTGACCCTTAAGAACTCGCTTAATGATGTGAAACATGAGAATGAGAGACTTGAAGCTTCATTAGAAATGATGTCTGGAGATTATGAGGAATTAAAGAAAGAGAAAACTTTGTTACTTGAGAAATCTTTTAGCATGCAGAAGGCAGTGATTGAGTTGGAGGAGCTCAAACATAAGAAGTTTGAAAGAAATCTAACTGCTGAGGTCCAAATCTCAGATTCTTTCTTCTTTTCAGTGATCATAAGTCATATCAAAAAGTTGACTTTTTGACTTTTTTTTTTCCTCTTGACAGGATGTGGAAAGTGGTACAGCTGATGATGAGTCGTCATCTAGAATCCAATCACTGGCGCTTGCACTTGATGAGGCTTTGGAAGCCAATAAAATGTATAAAATACAGCTTAAGAGGTATGTTATTATAATCATGAGAATTGTTTTTTGTAATTGATTTTTGTCAGTGATGGTTATGTGATGAAATTTCAGTTTGTTGTCTGAGAAAGAAGCGCGCGAATCGGATATTCTGATGGAGTTGAAGGTTAAAGATGAAGGAATGAAGGAGGAACATAAGCATAATGATTCACTTAAGGCTGAGTTAAATGAACTTCAAGAACGTTACCTCAACATGAGCCTCAAATATGCAGAAGTAGAAGCTCAACGTGAAGACCTTGTCTTGAAACTAAAGAACCTTGGTCCCACAAGGGGCTGGTTTTCGTAAAATCTTCCTTTTTTCATTCTCTACTTATTATTATTTTCATGAAATTGCATCAACAACTCAAGGTCATCTGTTCTATTCTATACGAGGAAGAAAACTGATTTTATTATGTCATTGATGGAAAGAACATGAGTAAATAGAAAATTGGTGGGGTAGGCAATATCATGTTTCTTTTCTTTTTTTTTTTGTTTTTGTTTTTGAGAGAAGAGGACCATGTGCCAGTTCAACTTAAGGTATATCTTATTGAACATTTGTTGATCTTTACTTAGATTGTTACAGACCAATCTCAAGCTTCCTTCTACATTGTATGCCATGTAAAATGTAAGTAAGATACACATGTTTCGAGTGTTTTTTAGTTTGGATTTCTGTTTTGGACTAGACTTTTTTCTGACACAGGAATGTGTCCATATAAGTATTTGTAACCTGTTAACTAATGTTGGTAGGTTAAAAATGGTTAAAATGAATAAATTATCAATTATCAATGTTTTTTCTTCACAGAATATCTTTGTAATAATTTTTATGGGATTTTCATTTAAAAAGTAGTTAGGACTTGGGAGTAGAGTATTGATTTTTTAAAATAAGCGTTGGGTTTCAATCTTATTCATTTGTGTGAAAGTTTGACGTCATTTGATTGAAGTTTTCATTTTGTAAACACTCTTGTTGGGATTTGAACAAACGTACAAAGCGAATATTTAATTTCAAGTGGCCAAAACATCAAATATAACGTGTTTTGACCATTATACCATTTTTTGGTCAAAGTTAAGACGCTTGTAGGTATTTGATAATTGTTGCTAATGGAAGAGGCTTACATGGTCAAATAAACAATAAGAAAAAATAGATGAGAAGATATGAATGACCTTGAGTATAAGTTCACAACTCTTGCAATACAAGTAATTGTTATTTTGCCAGGACAATCAAATGGTGTGATGTATGATTGCTATATCTCAACCACTACGATAGCGGCATCAAACGCCAAATGCATAAGAAAATAGAACTGGAAACATACTAAAAAAACAGAAAAAAAGATTCCTGTTGAATTTTATTTACGTGACACCGACGAATCAAAACGCGGCAACTGTCCTTGAGTTTTTTACAAATGCATAGCATCCAACATGTAATAAATTACAAAGAAAAAATATCAACACTTTACATACGAGAGAGAACACGAAGAAGAACATGAAAAAAACCTACTTCAATTCAAGTAGAGTAGATGATCCAAATAATCTTCTTCTTTCTTCTTCTTGGGTCAGTTTTATAAATGTTTTTTAGAGTATGGAGTAAGCTCGGATTACCTCAACAATGGGTGCCCGGCACAAGGGACATTTCCCTCCTCCTCTTACCAACTCATTTGCACACTTGGAACACGTGCACATATGTCCACATCTGCACATCACATCACATCACATCATCACTTGCTTAATCCACACACCTATATATATATAATATAATATATCTACATATATAAGCATCAACTGTTTCCTTTTTTTACTTAATAATGTAACACTACCTGTACAACAGTGAATCAATTTGGCTATCGCAACAAACACAGCAAGTTCCCTTTTTCACATGGACCCACTTCGACCCATCTTCAGAACTCCCTCCATCAACACCTACAAAAAAACATTTTCCTTATTTTCCTTTATCCTTCACTTTTCATTACATAACAATAATAACAATAATATAATAATAAAAAAGTTTGTGTACCTTGCTGCCCGCCCGCTGACCGATTCAAAGCAGCAGACACTTCCTGCCTGACCGAACGTTGCAACTCGAGTTGCATATCCATGCAAGCCTCCAGCATCCTCTGCATGTGACTCATACCTTGTTGCAATCTCGCCATGTCAGCTCTCAAATCATTAATCATCTCCCATTCCTATAAATGTAACAAAATATATTAAAAACCGAGACGAAAGATAAAAAATCACAATTCACAAAAATGCTTACGAGTTCAGATCGGTGGATGCTGTGGCGGGACCAATTAGAATGGTTCAAATCATGGTGGTGCCAAACCGGTACTGGCGGTGGTACTGGCGGCGATGGTGATGGTCTGCTACCGATGGCGGCTGCGGCAGCTTCATTTTGGTTTTCATTGTCTTCATCTCTAAGACCAAGACCACCTTGTTGTTGTTGTTGTTCACCTACTTCTGGTGACATGTTTCTGTGAAGATCCCAATCGATTGGTGCTCTGCTTTGCCTTTCCACATATGATTGAATCAAATGGTCTAAACTTTCGCGAAAACCACTTCGAAGAAGATTAGAAACACTTCTCCTATAATATAATTTTTAAAAAAAAAAAAAAAAAACAATTTGTTATTTAAATTGTTTAAATGTTGAAAAGAAGGTTTATAGTTTATATTAATTACCTGCTTAAAAGTTCTCTTAATTCCATACTGTAGACATTATCATCTTCAGGTGCGTGAAATCTGTTGGATCTTCTAACAGGAACTGTACGTCGTGTTCTTGGAATAACATCAGAAACCGCTTCTTGATTACCTGAATTGTTTTCTTGAAAAATTTGATCATTGTCATTAGTGACACCTTGGTTATCCCAATCTTGACCTTCATTTCCATTGATGTTTGTTTGTTGATTTGTGGTTTGGAGGAGAGCTGCTGCTGCAACAGTTATACTTTCCAGATTCTGATTTGAAACTTGATGAATGTTGGGTTCTTGAATTTGAGTCTGTTGTTCATGTTCAATCTCCTGTTGAGTGGTGTTTGTAATTGCATCACTACTTGTAAAATCAGTGGTGTTATTGTTAGTGTTATCGTTAGATGAATTTTCAGATTGGCTGCTTACTTGCCCTCGAACAATGTGCTCTAGCCTTGATCGAAACCCTTCCCTAATTATTTAAAAAAACAAATTATATTTATATATATGATATATATAATATCAAATAATCACAATTCAAAAGATTTCTTTAAAATGTATACCTCAGACCAGAGACAGTGTGGCGTTGTCTGAGCTGGACTAACTCACTTGCTGCCATTGATGGAAGCCTCTCCTCCTCCACAGGCCTCTCGTTTCTCAAAAATCTCCCTCTTAGTAATGACTGAAATCATCAACACAATCTCAATACAGCATCTGGATAAATAAAAATTTAAATATAAATATAAATAGTAATGACCTGAATTCGGTTGCGATGAGCAAAATCAGAAACAGCGCGATACTCAGTTAAACCCTGGAGTTCTCTCTGTCTTTCCCTTTCTACCCTCACAAGTAAATCAAGTAAAGCTTGTCTTCCACGCAACCTCAACATGTCTCTTCTGATATGCTCTGGTTGACCTTCATCATGGTCAACAACAGTCTCACGACTAGCTACTTGTTGTTGTTGTTGTTGTACGTGTTCTTCCCGATGACTGCCACGTGGACGTGGGCCCCTCTGTTGACTAGTCATCTGAACCCACTCACGCACGATCCTCACCCTTTCACGCTCAGTTTCACCAAGCCACTCTGCTCTTACACCGTTAGATGAATTATGATTATGATCAGTGACACCTGTCTCCCTCCATCCCTGAACTATATGCCTAACTCTTTCTCTTTCTCTTTCTCTTTCTCTTTCGTTGTCTCCTAAATCAGGAGACTGTTCACGGCTTGAAGTTTCAGTTTCTTGGAGGTCGTTTTGAGCTTCCATTTGATCATTAGACCAAGCTCTGTAATCATTCTCGCTTTCTGTAACATCTTCTTCCAAACTGCCTTGATGTTCGCTTGCTTCTTGACCTTCTGACATGTTGGTAATGGTATTGGAGTCCACACTTGCATGTTGTCTGAGTCTTTCTCTTACTCTTTCACGAGCACGGTTTAGAACATGTTCATCTTCCAATTCTCTCCACATTTGGAGGATAGAGGAAGCTTGGGTGCTTGGTCTTTCAATGTTGCCTTGTCTCCTTGAGGTAGGGGATTGAGACTCGCTTAAGAAGGAGGAATCAAGCATGGAAACTGTATGTAAACCTGCGAGTGCCATTAATTCAGACTCACGGTTTCTCCTTTCTATTGTGGTGATCATCTCTTGTGCTTGTCTTGCAGCCCATCTGCTTAAGATCCGTGATTGTCGTCTTCTAGCAGCAGAAGTTTCAGCCAGATCATCGCCTTCAAGATCTGACCTTCTTCTTCTTCTCACTAGCTGATCACCACCTTCGCTTTCATCATCGTCCCCATGAGGAGAGCTGCATGATGCGAATGACATACAGTCGTCCAAATGCCCTCTCATCAGTTCTTCCAATCCCCTCTCGAAATCAGAACCGTCGTTCTCAAAATCTGAACAGGCATCGGTGGTGCTTTCAGGCTTCTGTAGCAGTTGTGGTCGAACATCAGTCATCTTCTCACTAACCCTACCCACCTCAATTCACCAACAAACACCCACTAGGACAAACAAAATTCACCAATCGTTTGTAAACACAAGCAAACCCTATCCTCTCCTCGAGATCAACGATTGATCCGATTTACGGAACGCAATTCAGTCAGATTAATAACACCAGATCAAAATTGTGGTTTTCATCGTAAACGAGACGACTCAATAGGAAATTCAAAGAAATGAAATCGAGATCCACCATAATTCAAAGAAGGTAAAAAGAAAACCAACTATGAAACAATAACCTATGAATCAATCAATAAACTTACAGCAAAATCCAAACTACAGATTGGGAAAGAGGGAAAGACGTACCTCTGAAGCTATGAGTGCGCTTTTTTTTCAATATATTAGTTAGTGTGTGCGGGAAAAAACACAACCCTAAAATTCTGTTGGACCAGAGAAAAGGAATTTCGACTCGATTAAGAGGAACCCCACGACAGATTCAGAGCAAAAAAGTAATAGTTTTTGCAAAGATTAATAAATAAATAACAGGGAGAGAATTTTGGGTTTACATAATCAATCTTGTTTCCGAGTGAGTGATTGTTTTTGGTTTTCGGTTTTTGGTTTTGGGATGAACTAAAAACCTAAACCCGATCTTTGTGCATCAGAATTGTTGAATTGACAACCTAATCCGGATGACCCACTGTTGCTTGTAATTTATGCATAATTCATGACACATTCAATAGGATGATTAGCAAAAACATTTGGGGGATATTTTTTTCTCTCAACAGCCATATAAATTTTGCCAGCTCAATAGATTTTTTAAGCACAAATCCAACAAAAAAAAAAATATTAATTTTTAAATAAAAAGTTTGATTTTAAAACCTTATTATTATACATATTAATCGTTACATCACATGAACAATGTCAAGTCAAGTATTGAGTTGTCGGTTTTGGTGGTTTAGTTGTAGCTTCAATACCGGATGGTTTGGAGTGGGCTTGAATTTAGAGCACCATCATCATCTTCAAATGGAAATTCTGCTATCTTCCTCTAATCAGGTGTTTTGCAGTAGATTGTGTCTTCTATCCATGTGTTATTTTCCTCTAATCGGGTGCTTTGCAGTGGATTGAGTCTTTTATCCATGTGTTTTCCCACTGTCGCCTTCGTCAATGTGTTTCTTCCACATCCTACTTTATGTCTTTACTCCGTCTACATCCTACTTAAGGTGAAAGATTACTTTTACTCGGTTGACATACACACCGTCCTTTTTTGTCTTGCCCTAAATTGAAAGTGCTATTCATTTCCACAAATTTGCCTCTTATCCGTCTTTTCCATTGTTGGTTTGGTTGTCTTTCCCAAATGAAGTTGCATGTAGTAGTCGTCTCCGGCCAAATCCTTTGATGCATTTTTAAAGCTTCAACGATCCAGCAGCATTGTGTTATTCCAAGATTTGTGCACCTGTTTTTTTTCAAATGCGATTACAAAAATGTGAACACAAAAAAAATAACATAAAGAAAGGTCTCCAAATGGTCAGTGCTTCTGCTACTCACGCGAGTAAGGTGTTATTTATTTTTTGTCTGCAGATCTTCTTTGTCTCTTCTGTCTGTGCTGCGCAAACCACGTGCAGACATTAGGCTTCACAGACTGTTTGTTCTTTTGAAAACTACAGACCTAAAAAGGTTTGTGCGTCATCTTCTTAGCGCAAATGTGGACCATAGTTTTCAAACATCTCCTGTAACGACCCAATTTTCATGTCCAAAAATTTTCATTTTTTAAAATATTACTTTTAGAAAACATTAATAAATAAAAGCATTGTTTGATCACGCCATAACACATCGCAAACCATGTTTTAATATTCAAACCATACAATCCATCAAATATCAGAGTACAATCCCAGTGAATCTCGTAATGCGGAAACCGAAGAGTGTGTGTGTGACATGCTGCTACCGTGCCGGCTCCTTTCCCCTAGCTGAGGAGGTACCTGAAACCAAAACTGAAACCGTAAGCACAAAGCTTAGTGAGCTCCCCCATAATACCCCATACCATACAGCATATAACAAATACCATGCAATTAGGAGATACAGGCCCCGCCCACACTCGTGAGGATACGGGCCCCGCCCACACCTCACTTTCTGAGAGATACGGGCCCCGCCCACACTCATGAAGATACGGGCCCCGCCCACACTTTTGCTACCTGGGAGATACGGGCCTAGCCCACACTCCATTCTCGGAGGGATACGGGCCTCGCCCACACCCAACCGTCAACACATATCATACAAGTATCACGCAGACAACAAGTATAAACAGTTCTATCATACTGGTATATATCACAATCAACTCGACTAATAGATACGGGCTCGGCCCACACTATAATACTAACGTCTCATCTATGCGGGCCGGCCTTGGTGCCTTAGACCCGTTACTAATGAAAGGAAACTCACCTCGAAATAGCTGCTGGTCTGTGTGGGAATTGATCACCTACTACTGCTGCTGCTGCTTCGGAAACTCCCCGGCTGTAATTCCCACAATATACTTAATCATACACTGCTAACTGTCCTTTGGGTAAAAAGACCATTTTACCCCTGGTCTAGCCCTAAGTCAAATCGAAGTCAACTATTAGTTTACCCGACTCGCCGAGTGGATCTCCACTCGCCGAGTCCCTAGCAAACTATTGTCCTGGGTCCCTGATTCTACTCGTCGAGTTGGGCTATGACTCGACGAGTTCATCTTCTAAACTGACGTTCAACCTCTTCATCCTACTCGCCGAGTTGTATGAACAACTCGTCGAGTTCATCTTCATCCGAAGAACACTTTATGCTAAGACTCGCCGAGTTGTATGAACAACTCGCCGAGTCTGTTCTTGATCTATGAAGATTGCCTTGGACTCGCCGAGTCAGGGCATTGACTCGCCGAGTCCTAACATGGGTGAGTTCAGCTCCCAACTCACCGAGTCACCCCCTGTGACTCACGGCTCAACTCGATACATCATGAAGGGACCAAATCGGTGACTCGCGACCAGACTCGCCGAGTCACCCATACGACTCGCCGAGTCGTCGCCATGCATCCACCAAATACACCGATTTACTCGATTTCAGTCCATGCCATTCATAGATCTGGACTTCTAGGACACAAATCACACGTAAAGTTTCCAACTTTACGTGTGGATACTCACTAATATGGATTTTAGGGTTCAAAATGCCTCAAAAGGGTAGATCTAGGATGAACAAGCCACATGGGGCCATAAAGCTAACAGATCTGAGCTCCTGGAGCTCAATCTTGCCTAGATCTAAAGGCCAATCCACTTATTACGAAACATTAAGCACAAACAAGCTTGAGGAATTGCTCAAGAGTGTCTTAAGTGAAATCTTAAGCATAGAAACAGGGGAAAAACGAGATATACCTCAATGATACAGCTGAAAAACACAATGATGCTTGGATGGCTCTCCTTTCTCTTGATCTCCTTCCCTTCTTGCCTCAAAACCTTCAAGAATGCACACAAGAGCCTCAACTACACAAGAAACAAGCTTAGGACGAGGGTTGGGAGCTCTGGGGGTGAATGGGGGCTGGCAAGGGGCAGATATGGGGTTTAAATAGGGAGCAAACCCCTGAAACTTAGGGTTTCATCCAACAGCGGTGACTCGCCGAGTCCAGGATATGGACTCGCCGAGTCGCCAACTTAAACGTGTCCTGGGTCTCGTCCCTACTCGGCGAGTCGGACCTAGTGACTCGCCGAGTCCAAGGCTAAAATTGGGCAATACTCAAATAAAATTCACATACCGGAAACCAGGTGCTACAAATCTCCCCCACTTATTTTAGACTTCGTCCTCGAAGTCTGCTGCCCGGTCCTGAAACAGCTCGGGGTAATGCTCCATCATCTCGTCCATCGGTTCCCAAGTCCATTCCGAACCCTTGCGGTGCTGCCATTGCACCTTTACTAGTTCTACCCTCTTGTTTCTCAACATCTTTGTCTTTCTGTCAAGTATTGCGACTGGGCGCTCAATGTAATTCAAGCTGTCGTCAACCTGAATATCCTCCAATGGTACTACTGCTGAATCGTCCACCAGGCACTTCCGCAGCTGCGAAACATGAAAGGTGCTGTGGATCTGACTGAGCTCGGCTGGCAGGTCCAGCCTATACGCCACCTTGCCCACCCGGGCTGCAACCCTGAACGGCCCGATGAACCTTGGGCCCAACTTGCCCCGCTTCCTGAATCGAATGACACCTTTCCAAGGCGACACTTTCAGGAGAACCATATCCCCGACTTGGAATTCCAAGTCGGATCGACGTCTATCGGCGTAGCTTTTCTGCCGACTCTGTGCAGTCTGAAGTCTGCTCCGAACCTGCTGGATCCTCTCGGTCGTCTCTAGCACCACCTCGGTGCTTCCCATGACTCTCTGGCCAACCTCACCCCAACATATCGGGGTTCTGCACTTCCGCCCATACAACATCTCGAACGGTGGTCGGTCAATACTCGCGTGATAGCTGTTGTTGTAGGAGAACTCAGCCAAAGGAAGATAGGTATCCCAGCTACCACCGAAATCCACACACACGCCCGCAACATGTCCTCCAAAGTCTGGATGGTCCGCTCACTCTGACCATCTGTCTGCGGGTGAAAGGCGGTGCTGAAATGTAGACGAGTGCCCAACTCGTCATGAAATTTCTTCCAGAATCTGGAAGTAAAACGCACATCCCTGTCCGAGATCACCGATACTGGCACCCCATGCCGTGCCACAATCTCCCTGATATAGATGTCGGCCAATTTTTCGGCCGATATGCTCTCCTGAATTGGAATAAAGTGAGCACTCTTGGTCAATCTATCCACGATGACCCAAATCGAATCCACTCCACGTGCGGTCCTGGGAAGCTTTGTGATAAAATCCATCGTGATATCTTCCCATTTCCACAGTGGAATGTCCAACGGCTGCATCTTGCCATGCGGTCTCTGATGTTCGGCCTTGACCTTCCTGCAGGTCAAACACCGCTCGACGTACCATGCCACATCCCGCTTCATGCAAGGCCACCAATAATCCGGACGAAGATCCCTATACATCTTCGTCGCCCCGGGATGAATAGAAAATCGGGACTTGTGCGCCTCCTCCATCAAAATCTGACGCACGCCACCGTGATACGGCACCCACACCCTACGGTGTAATGTCAAAAGTCCTCTGCCATCATAATCAAAGGAGGAAACCTGACCCACCACACGCTCGCTCTTCCGATGCTCCTCCTTGATAGCCTCCTGTTGAGCCTCCCGAATCTGCTCCAACAGGGGAGTCACCACAGTCATCCTCAAACAAACGTCCCTGATCGGCACCGTCTTGCGGCTAAGCGCATCGGCCACCACATTGGCCTTCCCCGGGTGGTAAAGGATCTCGCAATCATAATCCTTCACCACGTCCAACCACCGCCGCTGCCTCATATTCAGATTCGGCTGGTCCATGAGGTACCTCAAACTCTTGTGGTCCGTGTAGATGGTACACCGAACCCCGTAGAGGTAATGTCGCCAAATCTTGAGGGCAAAGACCACCGCCCCCAACTCCAAATCGTGCGTCGGGTAATTTGCCTCGTGAGGCTTGAGCTGCCGTGAAGCGTAGGCAATGACATGCCCTCTCTGCATCAGAACTGCGCCCAACCCCGAAATGGATGCATCGCAGTAAACCACAAAATCCTCGACGCCCTCAGGCAGGGCTAGGATAGGCGCCTCACACAATTTCTGTCTCAGCATCTCAAACGCAGCCTGCTGCTCGGGTCCCCACCGAAAGACCACGACTTTCTTCGTCA